ATGGCCGCCCTAAATCTCGTCAGCGACAATAGGCGAGAGTGGTGCATGTGGCGTCTATCCTTATATTATGTCTATGGTTTAAACACCTTTATCAACGAGCAGTTAATCCTGCTGAAGAAACTTTCACAGTCTAAAGAAATTTGAGGTAGAGATATTAGGACCCGATAGATGGCAGTAGTGCAAAAATAGTGGATTCAAGCTGCCGTTAAAACCAAGAAGAAGAAGAAGACGAAGACGAAGACAGCACATGGTCTGTTTAGTTGAATCTTCCAGTGTTTCTCTAAAAATGTCTTCAGTCCATCTTAAACGAGTTTATCAACGAGCGGTTAATCCTGCTGAAGAAACTTTCACAGAGTTTAAAGGAATCATCGTCAAGTCGGAGGACGAGATGGACGATCAGCGCAGACTGCTGGATTTCTCCAGGACTTCCCGGATTATCTTACACCGGATAGGTAGGAAACACCAGCGTTTGGACGAAGGTTAAGGTCTAAATATAGAAACTTTATTCACCAGGATCATTTTAGTAACTGCTACCTTCCCTTATAACTAATTTTTAATAGGCAAACCCTACGCTAGTACCCAAAGTACTTTAGTTTATTTCAAATATACTTGCATTTGTGTAAGTATATTTTAAGTATACTAAGTATTAAGTGTACTACCTATAAATATATACGAAGCATACTAAAAGTATGTTAGACGAAAACACAACTGAACAACAACCGGATGGAAATGAAATGAGGGTCACGAAAAGAGCCCGGAGGGAGGAAGGCTGCTAACGTGTTGCTAGCTGGTGGTAAGTTTGTTTCAAAATGCTAATTATCTTTGTTCAATTACAAACAGTGCAGTAAAGATAAGCAAACTTACGTTGATTTCAGACATAATTATTTTGTGAATTTTATTGTGACTTATATGATTATTACTATAACAATCATTCAGCTTCATGTTATAACTGCATAAAGGCTCTCTGTTGAGACTTAATAGTTTTCTTAATAAACTTAACCTGGTTTTAATCGAGCTCAGTATGCCAAAGAGACGTTGATATTGTAAGGTTGTTGTTATAACTCCTTCATCAATGTTTTTATCTTCAACATATGTTTACAGTCTAAGCAAATGAAGATGAAAGAGGAAGCCAGAGAAATCAGGTGTTAGGAAAACTAAAGACTTTCCTGTCTCAGAAGAGGCTCTGGCTCCACCAGATCAACAACCAGCTCTGAGGATGAACCTCCACATTGTCTTCATCGTGTAAGACTCTTTTTTTTTTTTTTACTGAGCAGCTGGCCACAGTTTTAACAGCAAAAACTGGTGTGTTACCAACACCAAATGCTTAATAAACATGATTTGATTTATAGATAACTGGACATAATTTTTCCTCTTGTAAATCTAGCATTTATCTTTCATACATTTTATTTGTTGTTGGCTTTCAGGGCCCTGTGATGGACTGGTGACCTGTCCAGGGTGAACCCTGCCTCTCATCTGATGACTGCTGGAGATGGGCACCACCAGCCCCCCTCACCACCCTACAAGGATCAGTGTGTTCAGATCATGGATGGAAAGGTTTTAAGGTAGTTTGTCTCCTTAAGTCCACACGTAAAACAGCTTCATACTTATTGCCAACATCAACTGATTCTATGACATTGCTTACTATTTTTTTCTACTTCTAACATAAACAGGCCAAGAAGACACCCAGAAATGTTTTTCCACCTGAGGCATCCGGTCCCAATCATCATCAGTTCTGATGATGCCACATACATGACAAGTCCACAACGTCTTAAAATTGTAAGTCTTACTTTTTTTCCTAGCTGTTTTTCTGTACTCTTTAAAATAAAATGCTTTCTTTGTTTAATTGCTCTATTGTTCTTTTCTGCAGGTTTCTGTAAAGTGCAGTGAACTGGAATGTTCTGTCGTTGATCCTCACTGTTTTTAAGAAGGAGAAACGTCAGTTTGTCTGGCAGTAATGCTGGAATACTGTGACATTGTATTAAAACAATACTCTGTCCTTGGTGAAATATTTTTCACATTTCCTCTAGTGTACCTATCGTTTTATTGTGCTAATTTTCATTAGCATGTTGACTGTAAACTTTGAATGTATTGACAATTTGTACAATTCTGTTATAGTATATTGGCTCTTGAAAAAATGTGGGTAAGACTATTTGACGGGGTGTGCATAAGACTGACAAGAGACTGTCATAAACACCTGTTAGGAACATACTAATAGGTGTCATGATGTTTCATTCTGTAAGTATCATTATTTTGTAAATAATGACACTAATGCAAAATAGGCCATTTTAGTGGACTTTTAATCCAACTTTTAAAGTAGCTTCTCATTAAAGGTGTCATGATTTATCGAATGTCCCTTCATGACAACAGTCAGACATTCATAAAGACTCTTTCATGTTCATGACAGTGTAGTGTCAGTCTTATGCACAGCCCATTGTAACCCACGTGACCGCCGTGACCCAACCACCTTCCCTTTAAGTCTTCCCTTCAAGATCCGGGATCCTCATGTGTTTTTCCGGATTTTCCCCTGTGCTGCTGCTCACTGTTGGTTGTGGCGTCTGTTGTTCATAAAACAACCTGAAAGTTCCAAATCGACTCATCACTGAATAATTTAATCCCTAAAACATGAGGATCTGCGGTGAGTTGTTGAATACCACCTGACTTGATGTTGATCTGCAACAATAGCGCCGCTAATATAGCCGCTGCAATACACACCAGGCTGGGATTCTTTGACAGCTGGTATAGCTTCCTGATTAGAACAGGTTAACATTGCATCCACCTCCTCAGACAATCCGTTACTCGACAGTGAGTAAATATCATTTACATATAGATAGTAGAGCGTTATTTCCGCGACGCTCTGCCAGTTAGCATTAGCTACCAACTCGACAATCCACTTATTCAATTAATTACTCAATGAAAAGTCACACTGTTAAAGCCGAATTAAAGACCACACCTTTAATATTTAAAGGCTTCCCCTCTAACTTTAGATTAGATTATTTTTCATGATTTCTTTGTTTGTTATTGCATTCCATGCTGGTGCAGCAATGAAGTCTGGTACCCAACATGATTTTGTTTGTAGCTATTTTGATCAATCACATTCTTAAGATGATTGATTTGATTTATTATTAGTTGTTGTTTGTAGCGACTGCTAATTATTTTATTTGAGCAATTTTGAACCTGAATTATGAAGTGCACTTTGAAAAGGACTTTTTTTTTCTTTTCCATTTTTATGAAGTTGTTGTCAATACATAGCAAGTATGTATTTAACTGTTTTTCTCCCCCCCCCCCCCCCCATTTCCTCATTAAATAAAACATGTATATATGAACTTAATGTGTGTTTCCTGGCCTTTTAGGTCAGGTTTTTTCCCCCTTCCATTGACTCACTTGATGTCGGAAGATGGTGAGCTACCCAAACACCACCTGGTGGTAGGAAAACTGAACTACACTCTCCACACAGGAAATGAACCAAACTCTAAGGGGTATCAAAGGGAACGAAACTATTCTCCCCTTGTTTTTGGACTTCTTTTGGACTCTATTAGGATTTCAAGTATCACTGATTATTATTAATAATTGTTTGCTTTGTTTTTATTCCCCCTCATGTTTCTCTTGAGCAATTTATTTTTGTTTGTTTTTTTATTATTATTATTATTGCCACTGCAATAAATAGCAATATAAACAAATTTCTTTGCATCAGTTGCATCAATTATTCACCCCAATCATGACTCCATGCCATGCCTACTTCTGATTCTATAAACTGGTTAACACTAAACCTTGCAGCCAGACCTGCATATTGTCTATTATTGCGCAATAGCCAGCCCCACCTAAACCCTCTCAATTCTCATAGACTAACTATTGACCAGCTCTCCAGTTAATGGGTCGGGAAAGTCTCTAGATCCGAGGGCTTTTACTCCATGGATAGTCTAGAAAACATTCTGTTTAAGCTGGTGGCGGGAGGACTCCTCTGGCCTCTGTTTGCCTCCGATCCAAAAGTTATCACCCTTTTCAATTATTAAGGCAGTTAACCGAGTAGCTCTCACGGTTACCTAACCTCAATAATCACTTTTGTTAACGGCAGCTCTCTCCCTTATAATAACAAGCACTTGTTGACTAGATAGATTTTAGTGGCTCGGCTTGAACCCCAGGGTGATTATTTACTCATTACCAAAGAAACCTATGGAGCCACCATTTTCCTAGAACATAGACTTTACAATAATCAGAAGCAACATCAGTAATTCCGGACTCAGAATTAATTTCAATGTCCACAATCAACAAAATTTAACATATATATATTTTATTAGTAGCTTTAGCAAGGTTAAGTGACATCAGCTTACTTCAAAAAGTGTTTAGTATTTAGTAAGTTATGATTGATAAATGCACTGATCCGTCATTGAGCCTGTCAAACATATAAGGTTGAGTGGAGCAGTTGACCTCTCCAAGATGGCCGCCCTAAATCTCGTCAGTGACAATAGGCGAGAGCGGTCCATGAAGAGTCTGTTCTTTATATATGTCTATGGGGAAAAGGGGCAAAGATGCATTCATGGGCCCAATATGGGTGGGAATTTACAGCTACTTCATGGAAACACTGTTTTCAACTAATACACCCAGTTACATTGATAAAAGAAGTTCAATGTCCAAATAACAAAACCAAAATTTTCATTAGTGATATGTCGAGTAATCCAGGAGGATTTTTTATGAAGTACATAAAACGGAGAACTCGCCTGAACCTGAGCAGTTAAAGTTTTTATTTTTTAGTAATAAATTGTTGTCCACATAGCGAGTAACAAGCCAGTCACAACTCTCTCTCTCTCCTGTTTGTTTCCAGTTTTCCTTTTGATCCAGCCATTGTTTCATACAACCAGATTAATCAGAATTTATGTATCAGAATCACAAACATCTTTTACTTGTTTATTCATTGTAAGGCTTCATGTTGTTTTGCCTATTTTACATATATTGTCCCCTTGATGTCCCAGTAGAGCATGTGAAGCACCGCAGTGCATCGGCTCAGGAGTCCAATGATTGGATGCAGTTCCTCAGTGCTTCATGAAGCTTCATCTCACCATCACTAGTTTCCATTGTTTCCTGCTCTGGTCAAAACCCACAGGCCCAACCCAGTGCATGCTGGTCCAATACCAGTACCTATACTGACAGAACATGGACCCACAGTTCTTCCTGTCTAATTTAGAAAAGTAAATAGCAAAGTAACAAAACCTAAACAACTATTAATCTACAAATAAACTCTGTAAATAAACCCCAGAGGTATAAAGTGAAGTAAAATAAAATTTTAATACAAATAAAAGTAATGGAAATTAAGTAATATCTTGAAATAATAAAATTTATAACAATGGTAACTATAATAATTTTATAATAAAAATATATTTTTTTAATATTCGTTAATTTGAGAATTCTCCAATTATCAGCTGGCTTTGTCGACTGATCTGTCTCTCAGTCTACGCTCTTGAATTTTTAGGTGTGTTTTTTTTCTTTTTTCATTTCTGTCGTAAATGATGAGCAATTTCTCCAATTTACTTTAATAAAGTTAACAATTGCTCTTTTCCACCGTTTCCCTCTCCAGATTCCCTGCGGTGTAACATTTATAAGAAGGAGAGGAGATCCACTCTGGACCAGGAGGAGTTAGAACCTCTGCAGGTGAAACAAGAACAGGAAGAACCAGAAGATCAGCAGATAAAAGAAGAGCAGGAGGATCTAAAATACCAGCAGATAAAAGAAGAGCAGGAGGATCTAGAACACCAGCAGATAAAAGTGGAAGAGAAAGAAGTTTACTGCAGTCAGGGTGAAGAACAGGTTGAGTTAAAACAGGAGACTGATACCTGCATGTTGGTTCCTGTTGATGAGCAAACATCCCACACTGAATCAGAACTAAACAGGAATCAAGTCATCTTCCAGGAATCTGCTGAAATTGAGAACCAAAATCAGGAAAGAAGAAAACCTTTCTCATGTGTGACTTGTGGAAAATGTTTTAGTCTAAAATGGAGTTTAACTCGGCACATGAGGATTCACACTGGTGAAAAGCTGTTTTCATGTGTGACCTGTGGAAAAAGTTTTTATGAAAAACCGAATTTAACTAGGCACATGAGGATTCACACTGGTGAAAAGCCGTTTTCATGTGTGACCTGTGGAAAAAGTTTTAGTCACAGATGGAATTTAACTCGGCACATGATTATTCACACTGGTGAAAAGCCGTTTTCATGTGTAAATTGTGGAAAAAGTTTTAGTCAAAAACAGAATTTAACAAAGCACATGATGATTCACACTGGTGAAAAGCCGTTTTCATGTTGGAGCTGTGGAATAAGTTTCAGTCAAAAAGAGCATTTAACTGGGCACATGATGATTCAC